TTATTATTCTTCATAATCTTGACATCCTGGTACTTGCGAACATTTTCCATAGTCTTGCCATATACTGATACATTCATTAGTTTGAAAAAGTCACTTAGGAATGTATTTCCAGCTTTTTTAGCCTCGTTACATTTCTCAGTATTAAAAGATATATATGGTTTAAGCCAGTTAGTCTGGTTGAATGATAGGATTTATGAAACTTCATCTACAATCATACCTAATTTCATATAATATTGGAGCTCTTGATAATGGATGACATAGTTCTTTCGTGGTCCAAGATGGGGAACTATTTTTTTTGTGGCAGAGAAGCGACTACTATCTAATTGTTCTACAAGTTTAGCATTATAAGGACATAACCAATCCTTTTCTACAATGACATTTTTCACGGCTGGAGGTAAATCTGATAAATAATCATGGGTTTTTAAGGGAAAATGAGAATTAACTTTTAAGAAATACCCTCGTTTAGCATCGGATCATGTATTGAGAATCTTTTCAAGATATTTCTTCTGCATAGCTGGATTTTTTAGTAAATATTCCCGACTAACTTCCCATTGATAATTTCTGATAGGCAAATATTGGCTCATAAAATGACCATAAAGATTTGTTGCATTCACATATGAGATATATATAGTTAGTTGGGATAGATCATAGGCTTCTCCCATCTTGGGATTATTAACCTTAAAATATCATTGACAGGCCATAGATATACCATCACATTTAGCTTTTTTGATAAAATCATGCATAGCTATATCTGTGAAAAATTCAATCCTAACTCCTGACATCTTAAGCATTCCATCCCAGGATAATGATGGGCAGAAACATAGTAACTAGGATCAAGTTTATAATATTTCATAAACATTTTTCAAAACTCTGTCCAGACATCTGCTAGACTAAATACATCAGTTTTAAGATAGAGATCATGGTATTCACCTAGATTTTTACATCCGAATTCCTTCCATACTTTTTTGGCATGTTTGTAGTCATCTTGTGAGATCTTACCTTTAAGAGTACTATAAAATTCATAAATGGAAGGAAGTTCTGTCTCCTGAAACCTATCATGAGAATTGATATAGTTATAGAAATAAACTCCTTTGCGATATATTAATGCTAATTGCTTCTTTGTATAACCTAATTTTTTGAAATATTGACTTGTTATTAGGTGGTTATCACCCAAATTTTTTGTAAGACTGGCCAAGCTACTATTTATGAACTGTATGCTATCTATATATTTGAGTTGACCTACCTTCATAGACTGATATTGCTCAAATGTTTCAGCTATAACTTGGATATGAAGAGCATTAGCTGATCGCCTGACAGATTCACAAAGCAAATGAGAGTCATAGCCTCAAAAGTTGTGAAATATAACTGGAATTGGGGTTTTCCAATCCTGTATTTGGAGTATAAGATTACAATCCCTATGGGCTGATCCATGAAACTTACCTGTAATATGACAATGATCCCAGATCTTATTGGCTTTAGCTTTTTCGCTATCAATTACCTTAGTCACTTTATCAATAGTTGTTTGGATGCCATTATATTCAGCTGAACCTTTTTTAAACTTTTTTAGCTTCTCTTTAAGATTGGTTATTTTGTTCTCTTTATGCTCAATTTCATCTATATCTATATCAAACTTATCTTTACAGATCCAACAGCTAATAGCATTAGCAAATCTTTTCTTGTCTTCTTCAGTCTTAATTCGCTCATGTTTGATGACTAGAATCTCATTGATTTTGACCAGCTCCTGATTAATTCTTTGAATGAATTTCTGTGTAGCATTTTCTCCCCTGTATAGGAAAGGACCCCATACATCTCCAGTATCAATCCATTGGATTAGATAGCAGAAACTATTGGCCTTCTGCTCAGCAAGTTTAATCATACTTTCACCATATGCTTCATTACACTTCTTGTTGCCAGCCTTGAAATCAGCTATAATAACACATATGGCATTGATCATTCGACTATAATTCTTGAACTTCTCAAAATTATTGACCCCTTTCACTAGCATTACGACTCTTTGAGAGGCATTTTCATATATTTCTGAACACCATTCTAAATGATGTTCTAGAGACTTTTCAGAAGGCCAACTTATAGTGCATCCATCACATAAATATTTCTTTTCTTTATGCGTATTATCACTATATATTAATCTGCTAGGATTTTTGATTCAGAGAAAGTAGTTCTTTTGTCCATACTTATCTGTCTCATTATCTTTAGTAATATCTGTAAGGGCTAATAATCGAATTTTATGTTTTCTTTTAAAGTTTTTACTAGATATCACAGGTTTTAGTGTAGCTGTTTCTTCTTTCTATTCCCAGACGTTAATGGAGATATCTGCATTCATCTTCTCAATCTTATTAAATATATGTGAGCAGATGGGAGTGGGCATTAGGATTCCATCTAACTTAATAATATCTAAGTAAGGTTTAAGATTCTTAGCTCTAAAAATTCGATTAAGATTATTTGTATGTCCATCCTGATGAGCAA